GAACCAGTTTCTGAGGGTAGAAATGGCGATGATGCTACGTCAAGCCAAGCAGTGGATCTCCGTGGTATCAATTAAGGAAAGAAGCCATAACTTTTGTGTCTCAAACCCTTCAGAGGGGACGTAAAAATCTTTGGCAACTTACTACTAGCCGAGTATCAGTATTGCTGGCTGCTTCAGCTGCTGCTTCTTGCTTCTTCAAGCATTCATCAATTTTTGAAGATCTATGAAGATCTTAACACATTCATCTTGGCTGGGGAAGCCTTCTGTGGAGTTGACGCTTTTGAATTCAGGCAGAAATTGAAGGGTGTTTGCGAAAATTGTTTTGGTGCATTTCATCGGCAAAATGTATATGTAAGTTGCACTTCACACGTATTCTTCTCCACGGTTACTTTTTTGTTTTTATTGTTATTGGGGGAGTTAGTATTTGAACTTGTAAGCTTTCTTTAGAGACAAGTTGGGGCTACCATTTAGCTATAGCTAGTCACGGGCTTCCTAGTTTCTTTTCTGCATTGTTATAAGAATTACACAGATCATAATGTGAGATTTGTTGGCTTCTTGCATCATCATCATCATATGTAATGACTGTTGATAATTTAATTGATTTGCACTAACTTCAATGAAACTTTGAACAAAAAAGGAACAAGGAGTGAATTTTTGGGGGACAGGTTTCAATCGTTTTTATCTTTTTGCTAATTGTAGCATATTAAAATTGGTTTCTGTCTGCAAAACTTCTGTTGCAGATATATATATATATATATATATTGCTAATTGTAGCATATTAGAATTGTTGCTATTATTTTTGTGCATAATTTTAGACTTTTAGTACCTTCTTCCTATAATCACAATGCAGTTGAAACGGAGCTGTGGCTTATTTTTTGTTTCATTTCCAGGCACTTAAAATGGTTTTGGACAGGGAAACCTGGCTTAGATTGCCACCAGACGGCACATATAATTAGTTTTTCTGGTCTGGTTTTTGATGGAGCACCCTAAGGGTGCGTTTGGTTCATGGAATGTAACATTACCTCTAGGAATAGAATTAGCAGAATGTAACAGTACCTAACACATTGAGAATGTTACATTATTGTGTTTGGTTTGTTTACCAGGAATGTAAGATTACAATATTTGGTTGAAGAAATAAAATATCATTGGAATGTATATTTTACTAAATTGTCCTTGTTCTATATTTTTAACAAGTGGAATTTTAAATATTTAAATTAAAATATTTATACAAAAATTCATCGATAATATATTATTTTATTATTTTTAATATATATACTTTTTTAATAAAAATTATATATAATTTTTTTTATAAAATTTAAAAGATAAATGGGTAGAATAAAGAGTAAATATATTATGTATTATTTTAATTTTAATTAATATTAATTTTTACGTAATTTATCTAAAAGTATATTGAAATTTTACATAGTTTCATGGAGATCTTTCTCAAGCAGCTTTTCCAAAGTCGGTGCAAGAACACATGGTTGTGTAAGTTCTTCATGCAAATGAAGAAGGAGACCTCCAAAACCGAATTTCCGATGAACACACACTAGTCTTTTCTTTCATGAATGTAGTCCGTTGTACACCATATTGATTAACTATGTAATTGATGTACATACATCAAACTTCAAGTCCCCGGAAAACTATTGTTTTCTGTTTTCGCCATTGATTTTTTTAAGTTAAAATTGTAAAAATGTTCAGACATCACGTAACACTCCACCTTCGGACAATGCACATGGTCATTATGTGGTTGGAAACTATCAGAACAACATTTTATTCACACCATATATGTTTGCACGTTGTTCTGGTCTTGCAGGACCACTTTATGTACTATAGTTGTAACACCCCAATCCGTATCCAACTCGGATCCGAGGGATCACATTGATTTTTCAAACGTTTTTCTTTACAAAACGGAAAAAAAATTAAATTCACAATTCAAAAACAAATTATTACTTTTTATTAATTAAAAGCAATTGGTTTTACAAAAACCTATCGAGCATATTCAATCCAAATTTAATAGCACATGCCAACTATATCCGTAAAAACAAAAATACATATTATCTCCATTTTTCTGATCTGAACTTCGTAAGGAAAAATGCTAACATGTCTTGCTCCTCTTAGCTTCTCTTCTCGCTTTCCAACCTACGTGTGAAACATTCACACGCTAAGTCGACGACTTAGTGAGACATATAAAACTTATAATGCACTTTATAAGATTTAACTATGCATGCATGTTTTGTTCTATCATGCTATACTAAATCACCTTATGTCATCATATCATATAAAATCATATCAGATTACTTAGCAAAATATACATACATACACATAAAGCATCATTAACAATTTATCTTTTAATCATATACTTTATACTTAACCTTCTTAATCAAACAATATACACACACAACATCATATCATTTCTATAACATTTGTCATGTCACAAACATATATTTGTTATTATTTCTTGATTAGCCCATGTACATATGTGAGAACTATAGATATGTGAGTCTATAGAGGTTGTGCACTAATGTTGTCACCACAACTCGTATAAAATGCACCGAAGTGCCACGTAGAATTGCACCGTAGTGCCGCGTAAAAATGCACCGAAGTGCCATATAAGATGTCCCTAAGGACCACGTAGAAAATTCCTTAAGAATCATATACATATGCTAAGGATCAAATATGTGTCTCAAAAGACCTCATACATGTTCCAAAGAATACATATGTCCCGAATGACCGCGTAGACCCTCGACTCTTGCCATACCAACTATTCCTCTAGCTCTCGTGACACATAACATGGGCACTAATTTTTATGTTATCACACATTCAAATATACACAATCTCATTATTACATTTTTATAAGATCACACGTAGTCAAGTAGTTTGTTTCCATATAAATCACACATACACGTATATCACTTGCACGTAGAACATCTTCATAAACTTACATATCGCATAGCTTATAACTTGCTCTTATATCTTCTCATAACATATTCTCTTGTAGCTTTCTGTCATATCATTCTCACCACTTAATTTCACCTAATTCATAGACATGTGGCTTATCTTATATACCTATATTCACATACTTTATAATTACCTAGTTTACTCCATTTCACACATAGTCACATAATCACGTAATTTACTTACACATAGATCATTTCCATACCTAAATCATATAACACCTAAGTCTTCCTCATAAAGTTATACTATATATTCATATAATCTCATATTATCCTATAAGTAAATACTTATCTTGTCTCACTTTTCCATTTATTCTCATAATTGTTTATAGCATAACATATAATTTATATCACATATCTAATATTATTTGTATACTAAGTTAATCTATTTATTTAGTTTAATTTTACATAACTCTTATACCATAATTTTCTTTAAGTATATTTATTCTCTATAACACTTATCTTATAGTTTGGTATCATCATTTATACTCTATTCCCTTCACTAATATATTATTCTCATATTACTCTATAATATAATCTTATTTAACTCATCACCCTTCTCATATAGTCATATAAATCTATTATATTGATTCTTATAATTGTTCACATATACTATGTAACATGTATGGTCACCTATCATATAACCTATTTCACATTCCCATGTAATCATATAGATCATTCATATTAGTTCCTATAACTTATCACACTACATGTGTTCACACAAATCATTTAACACATACTGTAATATATATATCACATATACTCAAATCAAACCTATGTATATGATCATAAATTCATGCATTCTAATATAGGAAATAGAATCGTCGCAAGTCTTATTTCCATTAAACATTATAAACTAACTTGTATGCACTCACCTGGCCTCACTAGTCAATATTGTTCTCTTAACTTTTCTTTTATGCCTATTTCTTGTCGACTTGTCCGGACGTTGCCCTCGATCGATATCTACACAATCATGTATACATATCAATATTCCAAATACTATGATTCGATCCTTGATTTCTTAAGCTATAAGAAAGAGTAATTCCCAATTTTCTCTTGTAAGGGTATCGGTACCTCCCCATAGGTATCGATACCCTCCTCACAATCTATAATTCTCGTTCAAAGAATGTATCAATACCCTTTGAATGTATTCCCAGATTTACTCTTGAGGTATCGATACCTAATGAATGTGTACCAATACCCCCTAGCCCATAAATCACTTTTAAGCCCGAAAATCATACCAAATCAACTTAAATCCTTCCTTACTTGGCTCATTTAATACTCTTAACTCAAGGATGCATACTCAAACCAGTTCCTATACATTTAACACATCTTTATCATCAAATTCTCATCTTCCACATAAAATTCAAGAATCATACCAAAATTTCTACTTGTTCTAAATCCACTTCTAACATTTCATATCTTTTAATTTAACCATTGACAAGTCAAATTCAACTTCAAAATCTATTAACTCTTTCTATCTCAATAATTTATTTTTTGAACTTCTTACATTAAATCCTCCATAATTTCCAATTCTTTGAGTTTTAAGCTTATACAAGCTTTCCCTAAGCTTATATAGCAACCAAGGAATAAAACTCGACTTAAAAATCTAAGAATTAATTAGGTGAAATTAACTCACCTATTACTCTTGAAGTTCACGAATGAGGAAGAAGAAGAAAGTTTCTGGAGAAATCTCTCCTTTTCCTCTTAATCCCACGTTTTATAGCCAATAAAAAAAGATAAAAATCTTTCTTGTCAAATGACCCTTTTACCCTTCTTTCTTTCAAACTTTATTATTAAATCCAACATCAAAAGTTTCCAATTAATTTCCTAGAACTTTTATTTTTTCCTAAGATTGGTCATTGGATTTTCAAAACTTCTATTTTGGTCATAGACCCGACTTTTGGGATGTTACAATAGTTATATATTTCATCCACATAATCTATAATATGCTCATAGGCACCAGTAAGAGAGATTCCCAACTGAAAATTGCAGATTTTGGTATTGTCAACATCATACACATGCTAATTCTCAATCCGAGTGTAGCTAAAACAGTTTCCAAACCTTTCCTCGGTACCACGGAAACTTCTCGTCGTGGCCGTGGTGGTGTAGGTAAGTTACCAAGTCGAGCCACATGAAGAATATCTGCAATTTATACCAAATTCGAGAGATATAATATAGAAAAACAAAGACTTTAAATAAATATGTGCTTGAAGGGACTGAAACATACCCAGTATGGAATTCCGTAAAGCTTAAGCAACTGAGTTGGCCCCATTGCAAAAGATAAATACATAAGCAAACCAACCATTGCTGCCCAACAGGTAGTGGAGGTGATTATATCTATTTTTTCATTTGGATCGAACAAATCGCTCCCCTGATCGAAATGTGAACCACTATTCCCAGGACTTCGACTCCACTGTAAATGAATCGATATCAACGCAAATCACAGGCTCGTAAACAAGAATTCAACTGATGAAATCATCGGTGGCATACCAGATAGATTGGATAAGCAATAGGGATGGCAGAATGACCCGAATCCGACGTGGAAACTCGAAACCCGGTCAAGTTTGGGTCGGGTCAGGTCGGGTTTGAATGATATCGGGTCGGGTTGGGTATCAGGGATTTTTTCGGGTCGGGTTCGGGTATGGGACACAGTATCCCCGCCCTGCCCCGATTATATATATATATATATATATAATATTTTTTATATTTTATATTAATTATATATATAATATTTTTGGGTTCGGGTTTGAGTATAATATTTCAGGTCCCGTTCAGGGACGGGGTAAAAAAAATCCCCGATGGGACACTCCGATAAAAAACCCGATAGGGATCGGGTCGGGGTCGGGGATGGGGATTTATTTTGGGTTCGAGGACAGGGCGAGCAAAACTCGCCCCGAACTCGACCCGTTGCCATTCCTAATAAGCAAGCATGGGAAAATGCAAGGTGAACCTCAGTAATCTAGTTGCATTATCCAAACTCTTGTAAATTTTCTCAGACAACTGCAAAAATGAAGAGCAAATCATAATCACTCGAAATGAAAATCACACTTAAACAACTCCCTCGCAAAAATGAAGAGCAAATCATAATCACTCGAAATGAAAATCACACTTAAACAACTCCCTCGCAGAAGATTGAAGACGTTACCGGATGCCACGCGTCGTCGGTTTTGACATGTCCGTGATTTTGATGATGTGTTCTATGGTTGATTCTCTTGCAGATTGATATATATAGTCAAAATTGTCATCAGATTCATTCATATGGGACCAGATTAATAGTATTCAAGTCACTAATGACTAACCATCCATGGTATAGGATAAGGATGGAAGAATGAAGAGGATGACCAACAACACTGTTCAATGACGTGTTGTTGGAGAAACTACCATGTCCACTGAAAAGAAAAAAAAAAACAAAACCAAACACATAAATCAATGTACAAATTGAAGAAGAAAAAATCAAAAACAGGGATAATACCCATGGTGGGATAAAACAAGTGGTGTTCACCAGTCATGACCAAGAACAAAAAGAGCCCAGAACATGGTTCCCTGAGCAACCCAATAAAGAGGACAAACAAGCAAGTTGTTAAAATAAGAAGTAACAACAGACAAACCAAAGACAACAACATCTCTCAAAACATAACTCATGGATCTCCATAGATCCTTAACCCAACAATGCTTCGGTATAACCGCCCTGATGTCGGTCAGGTTGAAAAGAAGTGGCACAGCACGATCAAATCCCCCATCATCATCATCATCTTCAACCCCATTAATGGTCTCAACAACCTCCAAAGGAGCAATCACATTTAAAGAACCCACAAAGCTCCTCTTTCTACACCAAGTAGAGACCTTGAATGGAGAAGAACCAGGTACAGTTCTGACCTTTAGGCCATTGTTGTTGGTGTTTGAAGGAATTGAAGGTCTGGGTTTTGAATAGAATCTGATTATGGGGAGGGGTCTTAAGCCGCATTCTGACAAAATCCAACTGGCCATTGCTTGCTGCGAGTCCCCAAAGATTGTGAGAGCTAATGCCAAAAAATTTTAGCCTTTAAAAAGGGCATCAGATAATAACACAGAGATATACATAGAAAGAAATAAAACAGATAATGAACAATGTGGTCTTTGAAATTAGAAGAGGAATTGAACTCTGTGAGCTTTTGTCGCCAATTCGAAGAAGATGATTGTTTTCCTTCACAGAAGCAAGTTAACTGGGAGAAGAATATAAGAAAATGTATTTTAATCCTTAAACACGAGAATAAAAGAATACCTAAGTTAGCTGTGTGAATAACATTCCCAATAAAATAGACCGAAAAAATATTGTTGGTATTGATATTATCATCACTTGAGAATGTAACCCATTCAAACGTGGATATATTAACTAGGAAAAAAATATTCCCAGGAATGCAAAAATCCATGATCCAAAACGCCCCTAATGGTTACATCTGGTGGAAGGTTTTCTAATTCTAGGGTTCTTCGCACTGACATATCAGCCAACAAAGTGGACACAGATGCCAAGAAGAGTGGGTTTTCTCCTTGGCTTAGAAATGGAAACCCATTTTTGCCAAAAGTAAGCTGCAATTGCGAAGAGACTCACAATTCCTCCCCGCTTAATGGAGCAACCTCTGGGGTATTTGTTGGAAATGCTGATAATATTCATGGTGATGTGTCTCCACGCAATGATGATGAGAATCATATCAATGGCTCCAATTCCATCTCAGAAGAGGAAAATGAGGATTTACTTGCTGACTTTATTGATGAGCATAGTCAACTCCCTAGTCAAATTTTAAAACCCATCCTTTCAAGAGGTTACTCTTTTCATTGCAGTAATGATGATTTTACAGCACAAATAGGATCATCTTTTTGTGTTCTAAGGTTAGATGCTTATTATTCAAAAAGAAAATGGATTTCTCTAGTAAGAACTGAATGTTGTTTATTTTCTTACAAGTGAATGCAATTGAGCTGTTTTCCAACTTTTACACACTAGGTCAATGGATAAGTATACAAGACTGATGGAGAAACTTGAAATAGTAAATATTGAGTTTTTTAAGGTGTGTACTGGTTAAACCACTCTTTTCCTGAGCTCTATGTTCTCACTTGTGCATACGATCTGAACATTATTCTTTTTTTTCCCTCTAAATTATTTTTCCTGATTCAGTACATTGTTGCAGGGCATATGCCAGTAATTTGAGATTTTTTCTATTATATATTTGAAACATTTGGTCTGCAAAATTTGAATTCAAGTGGAAAGACTTCTACTGACTCTCAATTGTAAGTTAATTTTCATTCAATACATGATGGAAATTTATATATCTATTGATATGTCTTTAACTTATGTGTTCACTTCTCATATCTGCATTTTCATCAATGCTTTTGTTATTCCTAGATAAATAACACAAGATTGTGAAGAGTGGATAAGATCCTTCTCATCTTCAACTGGACATGCATATTTGACACCGGCTGCTCCTCAAAATACATATTTTGGTTCTCCAGCGAGCACATCCTTTGATCTAAAGGTATGGAGTAAATTTCTTTGGATAAGTTATTTACTGATTTTTTGGATGACCATTAAATGGGGGAAATCGTCCATAGTCGGTCGATTTCTTGTTCTCTCATCAGCCACATTATAGTTTTGTTTATAGTTTTGTATTTGTATTTGTATTTCTCATTGTGATATTAACTAAGGAATAAAGAATTTTCTCTGTTAATGTGGCATTATTCATAAAAAATGCCCCCACATGCTCATCAAAGAGAATATCTTTCTTAAATGCTTATCGGTTTCTTGATTTCTTCAAAGTAATGTGATTTATGTGGATTTTGTTTTTAAATCAGGAATGAAGTGTTTGGTAATTTATGTGCCCATGAATAACATAACTCTTATGTTGCAGGAAAGATGTGCAGGTGCTGATACGACAGCCCTTGTAGCTCGGATATTGCATAGATCTAGAACCAATCTCCGATCATTGCTACTGAAGAGTAATACAGTTGTCGTTGAAGACTTCTTTGAGCGCCTGGTATGTTTCTCATTTATTCATTTCTTATCAAGTGGGTTAAGAAACTGCAAAAAATAAACCTTGTGTGACTTATGGTTTAATGCAATCTCTGAACAAAACCAGAATAGTTATTTATAATAGTATTGGACCATTGCAAATCCATATTTTTCGGAAATTAAAAAATACCGGTAGAAGACACAGTTTGCCCTCACTTCTTTCACAAGGATATCCTGATTTCTGCTTTGAGTTATTTGAAAGTATTACATATATTATTAAATAAATGGTCAAAGTAAATATGTGTCTATATTTTAGTTCCACCTTTATTGGAAATGCAAATGATCAATGCTTAGTAGATATAAATAATGATAGGGGTAATTTTACCTAGTCTTCCAAGTTTTTAAGGTATGTCAGAGTAAATTTAATAAATTCCCATTTTTTTACTGAACTTTTGCCAATATAAAACTCATCATAGTATGTCCAAGCAGTTGGTTTATATTTTGTGTAGACCTTCCACTAGATTAATATGTCTGCACCATCAAGTTACTCTAACTTATGATTTGTGTTTCAAGTATTTTCTTTAATCAGTATAAAATGACAACAAACTGGCAGCAATGGGACTTTTTTTTTATAAGAAAGGGAGGTCATTAAAAAACCCCTTCATATTCATCGAAATACATCAAAGTATCTCAACGAACATTGAAAGGAGGAAAATAGTACCTCAAAATTTTATTAGGTAAAGCAACTCAGGATAATATAGAATACATAGGACCTAATCAGCCACCAACCCGAAAAGCAGTACCAACTAAAAACAAAACCAGACCAAAAAAACAAAAGACAACAAATTAACCAATTCCAAATTTTGCTAGCTCATCCGCATCCCAATTGGCGCTTCTCTGAATGTGTCTAATTATCACATTACGATCCAACACAATAGAGACAATTTCCTTCACTAGATGCTCAACATGGCGGGACAGGAGCCAGGGTTCTTAATCTATTCCAAGGCGTTAAAACAATCACTCTCCAAAATCAAACCCCCTTTGCACCCCATTCTGAATTCACAAAGAGAAGTAAACCAGCTTTAACTGCCAGCAACTCAGCCAGGACAGGTGGACCAGGTCCTACAGATTCGGAGAAGGTCCCCAGCAGGTACCTATCAGAATCCCGAAGTAAACCACCAAAACCACCACTTTTCCAATCCTTGTCCACCGCACCATCAACATTAACCTTAAAGAAAATCCGGAGGTTAGCTGTTCTCTGTCGAAGGCATTCCAATTGCTTTCCTCAGTAAAGCTAAAAAATAGATGGACCAAATTATCAGTGCTACTATCTATTCAAGTATTTATACCTCTCAAGTCCTTCCAATCAACCCTGCTTATTGCCATGTAATAACTTACATGGCATAAGCTAAGCGCCTCCTCCTTCAGGCACGCACACATATTTTACTTTTGTTTGCTTTATGTGGAACATGTTTTTAGTATTTTAATTTATAAAATTCATCATTTCTTTTAATTTAGTATGTTTTTTTCTTATCAAGTAAATCCTATTATTTGTATATTTGAATTTTACTTTTTTCTGATTATATGATATTAAGTTTACTTTCTTGGTTACTGCCAGTTGGATGCAGTGCCAGATCTGATAGAACACATACATAGGACAACTGCAAGAATACTGCTCCACATTAACGGGTAAGATCATTATATTTGAGTTCTCATTCAAAAATGTTATTGTTGTTCATGTTACTTGCTATTTTCTTTTAGGAGCTAAAAATAAACAAGAGCGCATGTATACACAAAAGCAAAAAAGGCCATTTTAAGGATTTGTTTTTGAAGAATTATAAAAGAAAATAAGCAATAATTTTATGAAAACAAAAACCATGATTTGACTTCTCTCTTTGAAATCGTTATGATTGATTTAGTGTTGATGTGTTTGATTTTTGCACATTTTTATCTCTGATGTTGTATCTCCTTTATGCAAAAAAATGAGGAAACAAATGCAACCAAAAGCAAGGCTGAAGACAGATAATTGTTTGTTTGTTATGATTTTAGTGGTTGATGTTATTGCATGCATGTGTGTCTATAACCTTGTAAATGCTAGTACTGATTCTAGGTCTTATTTTTTTCCTTCACTCAACCTTGTAGTTACCCAACTGAAATAGTTTTTTCCATAAACAAAATCCCTCGTGATTTAATTGAACCAAGGAAAAAGAAGTGTTGAAACAGTTGAAATTGCCAAAACGCTGAGTTGCAATAAATGCGAATGTCACGTCATGATATTAAATTTTAAAGGTTGGCTCAAGACATTTGGCAAATCCATTCTTGTTAAATTTGATGATTGGAGGTTATCTATCAGTCCTTGAAAACCAGTTATTAGTGACTATATTTGCAGTGTCTGACTGACTTGGAATAGTAGAATTTGGTTTCACTTGTCAAGCCAATTAAAGTTATAGCATGTGACAAATTTTTGGAATAGCTAAATTTTTGTCAAACAGATCTTTCTTTTTATCTATTCTTGGTAAACATATAAAAAATCCTTTTATTGCAATCTCTTGGTGTTGAATTAAAGGTTTTTGGTCTCTCATTGATTCCAACTATTGTTTCTTCATCAGTAGCACAACATTTTTTCAACAAAGGTAGACTCAATGTATTTGAGCTTCTTGATGCTGGAATTCAATCGTACAAGGTTTTAGTTTAGAATACAGTGAGCGAAGAGCTAACAAAGATTTGTGGAAAGTACATTTAAAATAATATATTCCTTTTCAATCCAATAATTGAAAAGGATAATCTTCCATAGCAATGGTAAGGAAAACTTTAGATCAAAATAATAACTATTTTGGTAATTCACAAAATATCAGACTCAAAATCCTCCTCAAGTTTGAGGATTGCAAGAGACTTCAAATTAATTATTGGAGGAGGAATTATAACTGATAGCTTCAATTCGACAAGAATGCCAGTAGCTGCCAATATTTACTACTTCCAGTATCATAAGAACTTAAAAAATTCGACA